CTTAATTAATACAGTTCTCTATAATGATACCATATCACTATTGGATTGGTAAGCACAACTTTGTATTTGGGTTAGAGGTCTGCATTGGTACCGCAGCCCGGACCGGGTCGGAGGTAATTTGCAGGCCCCTAATTTGGGTGATTTGTAGCAGTTTCTCGAGAACTAAATAATTTAGCTATGTTTCTTGAAATTAAATAAACTCGTTATGTTTTAGGGGAGAAGTTGCTTCGTGCTCAAATTCTGATGCAAAAAATGACAATGTTGGTCCCGAGAAGAAAGCAAAGACTGGTTACAAGGTTGACTTCAAAATAACTTTGAAAATTCCAAATTATAAGTTGCAGGTTGCACATGGTGAAGTGTCAGGGGGGATCAAGAATGGAAAGGCGGAAGCTTGCAAGCGCAAACAATGGCTTGATAAACTCAAACTCATGATTATGTTGCGAGATGAATTAAATCAGATAATTAAGGCCTACGGCCGATCAAGTACCGAGTTCTTATATTTTATTGTATACGGAATTCAAGTGATTGGTTTGTAATATAACAGTTTTATTGGAATATTAGTATAATCATGCTTGTAAATTAATTTTGATATAATCTCTCAGGTTTTCATTTAAATATATATGCAATGATATGGTGCAGTGGGGGGGTCTACCTTTTTGGTTTAATTGACAAATGCTTAATACCAAGCAATCTAGAAACATTCTATTCGTTAGAGGAAGTATACGTGATTCTCAAGACCCTGCAAATGAAAGTTACCGAAGCTTCAAGTGCATTAGTTGTCATTGAGCAGAAATATGCAAAAAAAAGACGGCTACCTACTGTTAATGACCAGCAAGACTTTGAGAATGATCTTGTACTCACTCAAGCAACAAAACATCAGAGGATTTCATTGCCTTAATCTGTTTTAGCCAATAATAAGACCATTAAAAAATGGGTTCATGGTATCATTATAGAGAACTGTATTAATTAAGGGGTAATATAATGCATGCACCGCGTGTTGCTCAGACATTGTGTTTTGGATAGGGTAGCCTGTTCGCCTACAATGAAGGTATAAAATGTCATTGAATATCGAATTGATATTCCAGAACGAAAAAACCGACTTACAGGAATTCAACCGCCGTGTGGAAGGTTTTTAACTCATCCTCCGGATTAGGGGGCAACGTAAAATTTTCATCAAAATATTTAGCGAAATGTTTAGGCGTCCGAATAGATTGCCATTGGACAATTATGCCAAATAAATTCCGAAGCTCTTCCCAGTCTTCAATATCAAACGATCTCTTGGTCTCAATATACTGACCGGTTAAATCGATGATTCCATAATAGGCTGGATTCAAGATCTTGTTTTTCGACGGGATCTTAAAGCGTATGTTACGAAAGTGCGCAAACACATCTAATTGACTTGATAACACAAGTTTATTATCCTATTACAAAGAATAAACGATCTTAATTCTCTCAAACAACTCACAACAGATTTCTAAATGACTTGCCTTTAGAAATTGGTTTGGAACATTTGGTATCACCGTCTCCTCTCTGTCAAGGCTTTCTTCTGCAATAGATGAAATAAGATCTTCTTGGGAAGACTCAAATAGAAATGCGAGCGATTCCAGAACTTCCTCCTCATTGGCATCAGTTGTTATAGGAGAATTCACTATCGAACTCATTAATAACTCTCTTTTGTCTTCAAGATTTTCTACGTCATTTTCATCACTGTCGCCTATATCGATTGCAGAATTATTGATGATTGTTGGCGTTGTTGACAATGTGCCCTATAGGAAAGATTTTTAAAAATCTCATCTGTGTATAAATGTGTAAGTTCAAAATTTTAAAAAATATGATTAACCTGGTTTTCTACGCGTGTATTAAACCTATTTTGCACAACTATATTTGTGTTTTGGATCGAACGGTTTACTAGAATCTGGACAACGTAAACATGAACATTAGTCTATAGATTAAAGCGAAAGGAGTCTGATCATACATACCGCCTTCCTCTCTTCTAACCACAACTCCCAGTCTCTTTGAAGTTCTGCCTATTAACCCGAAGTAATAGTTTTAAAAATCCAATGAGTCAGTATACTAGAAAAAACATATTCACTACATACATTAAATTTTCCTTTCGTTCTTAATAGTCTTCCTTTAACATTCTCATCTTGGCATTGATCTAAGGCAGATTCTAGGACTTTACCGTAAATTTCAAAAGCCCGAGCTCGATGCATAGGAAAAGAAAATCTAAAAAAAGCAAGTGGGCTCGGATCGTGAGAATTAAGCATCCATCTTACATTCTGCTCTTTAACGGTTGCTGCTTTGGTTGAGGGCACTTTTTTCATTATGTGAAAAATTTTTAAGAACTTTCACGCCAAAAACGCGTATTTTCAAATTTTCCACCGATCTTGGCCAATCAAATATCAAGATCAGATGTAACGTAAAAAATCAAAACATTTATAACTGATAATGGGGAAAAAAAAAAATCCAACTCTTGTTTCGATCAAAGTAAGTCGAGTAAATTTTTTCTTATTATGAATTTATCGGCAATTTTGTTAAGCATAAAAGAAGCGTCTGCGGCAGACTTATTCTGTCGGAAGCCAGTGGTGGCGAGTCATTATAAATGGCCGGCTAGATTTTATTGCACAAAATTGTTACGGGTTTACCGCACCCAAAGCGTCTGCGGCAGACTTATTCTGTCGGAAGCCAGTAATGGCGAGTCATAAATGGCCGGCTTATGAGTGAGGGTTAACCATTTATTGATTTGTTTAACTAGCTTTTATTCAACAAAATTACTAATACCCAGATTTTTATTCTGCAAATTATACGAGAAAAATGCTATGATTACGAAAAACTTTATTGGATGTGATGGCGCCAGTTTGCCAAAAAGTCATTCCACATAATAGGAAGATGAAGAAAAAACAAAAGGTTATGACAAGAAATAAGGTACCTAAGTTGTGGTATAATTATGCCATTATTATTTTCTAATAAAACGTTATTTTATTATGCCATGTGTCACTTAGGGGCTATTTGATATATTGCTTGAACATACATATACGACCATCAAACTTGTATTTCAAAACAATGGCATTTCGTGCCTGGAATCTTTATTTTACAAAATAAAATCGCACTTGCATAATGCGAATACAAAAAAAAAAAAAATT